TATTGGCCAGGCTGGTCTTGAACTCCTGACCTCGTGTTCGCCTGCCTCGGCCTCCCAAAGTGCTGGGTTTTGGAATCAGACCAACTAGTTCCAGTTCCCATTCTGCCACTTAGAAGCTGTAGGATCTTGGGCAAGTCACTTTACCTCTCTGAAGCTCAGCTTCCTCCTGTGAAATAAGAGAGGCTCTTGCAGGGTTTTTTATAGCTTAGATTCAGTAAAGAATGTGAGTGCATCTACCATCTATGTGGTGCTGGGTGTCTACATGCCTTTGTTTGTTTATTCCCTTTAGAAGAAGCTTCTGACTTGACCCCATTTGGAAGATGACGTTATTGGAGAAGTGCACTCTGCTGTTCTCTTGGAAGAGGACAATAAAACGCATCTGTCACCCAGGCTGTGGTGGATCGATTGCAGCTTACTGCAGCCATTCCCACTCAGGCTCAAGTGACCCTCTGCCTCAGCTTAACCTCCAGAGTAGCTGGAGCCACATATGTGTGCCACCGCGCCTGGCTAACTTTCTAAAAAAAAATTTTGTAGTGACAGGTGGTCTCACTATGTTGTCCAGGCTGGTCTGTTTTGTTTTGTTTTGTTTTGTTTTGTTTTTTTCTCGAGATGGAGTTTTGTTCTGTTGCCGAGACTAGAGTGCAGTGGTGTGATCTCAGCTCACTGCAACCTCCACCTCCAAGGTTCAAGAGATTCTCCTGCCTCAGCCTCCTGAATAGCTGGGAATACAGGCATGCAGGACCACACCGGACTAATTTTTGTATTTTTAGTAGAGACGGGGTTTCACCATGTTGGCCAGGCTGGTCTTGAACTCCTGGCTTCAGGTGGTCTGCCTGCATCAGCCTCCCAAAGTTCTGGGATTATAGTAGTGAACCACTGTGTCTGGCCATAAAGCGCATTTTGATCCACCCGATGAAGCCCTCCTCTGCCAGCGTTCTGCTTCCCCCATCATTAGAGCAGCCAGATCCTAATTGTGCGTGTCGGCCTCGCCTTCTGCTACGTGTGCACCTTCCCCACATTACACAAATCCTTATCATAATGTTGTGAAACACGCTGGGCACAGGTTTCTCTCCCTGTTTCACAGATGGGTCTAGAGACTTACATGACCCAGCCAAGGTCACACTGCAAGCCCTGACATGGCCTAGAACAGGCTTTCTCAGCCTCAGCACCATTGACATCCGGGGCAGGGCACGTCCTATTGCCCAGGGCATTGTTGAATGTTTAGCAGCATCTCTGCTGTCTGACCGCTGGATGCCAATCACATCAACCCCAGACATGACACCCAACCATGTCTCCAGATGTTGTCAAACATCTCCTGGTGGCTCAACCAGCCCCACTGAGAAATACCGCTTTAGAACGCTGTGGGTTCAGCATGCTGCCTTCATCTTTTCATTGAAAACACAACTCCTGGCGCGGTGGCTCAGCCTGGAATCCCAGCACTTTGAGAGACCGAGGCGAGCAGATCACTTGAGGCCAGGAGTTGGAGACGAGTCTGGCCAACATGATGAGACCCCTGTCTCTACCAAAAATACAAAAATTAGCCAGGAATGGTGGCACACACCTGTCATCCCAGCTGCTAGGGAGACGGAGGCAGGGGAATTGCTTGAACCCAGGAGGCAGAGGTTGCAGTGAGCTGAGATCACGCCACTGCACTCCAGCCTGGGTGACAGAGCATGACTCCATCTCAGAAAGAAAAAAAAAAGGAAGAACACACAACTCCTCTCCTCAGTCTTACTCAGGGAGGAAAAAAAAAACACAAAACACAACTCCACGGACCAACAATTAGTATTTTTCTTCCTTCCCTAACACACAACATAATCTCTTCAAAACAGATGGAACCCATATTCCAATATCTACCTTTGGCATCTTTTTCAAAGTATTTCTAGGGTGACAGTTGGGAGCAAATGGGAAAAAAAATATTTGGACGCAAACTCTTTTTTCCACTGGGCTTTGAGAAAATCCCCATCTTGCGTACTCCCAGTGTATCTCTCACTGATAAGTTCCTCATAAAACCAGGGCCTTCTCCAGGGCCACGCTGACAGAACTCCCACGAACACACCATGATTACGACCCTGCTGCTGTCTACTTTGGTGGCTGGAGGTAAACCCTGTCACCCAGAGACACTGGTTTCCCATCCCCTGGTGTGACTAGGAATGGGATCTTCCTGTCCTCCCCTCTCGCCCCCACCCAACCCCCACTGCATTCAGACCTATAAT